TAGTGTAAGTCTATGGAATGGACACACTGGCGAGGTTGATGTATACAGCAAAGGCAGCTAGTTGGTAAATGATGCACATACAAGTTAAAAAAAACGCGCGAGAAGTCAAGCTTCCGGTGAAAAGATGTATTAGAACGATAACACTGGAATTTTTCGTTGCTTTGGGCTGACACTGAAAGAAGCCATCACAGCATTAACACAACTATTGTTCAACGTAAATATTTGTGAACGGAGAAAAGCATTACTCTTTGCCAAGTAGCCCACTGAAGTACATTTCGTTCGGCATGATATCGATTAAAGTTTTATAGCTCAGAAGCGAATTTTCCAAGCCCACTCCCTTCAGTTTTATAGCAGTTTTGCTCTGAAAATTTCGAGAACACTTTAATTTTTAACAGATTACGAAAAGACTTTACAAAATTCAACGAATACTCATTACGAAGAGAAATTTACATTCAGCAGTCGTTGAGAGGCTAATATTGCATAAATACTCCCATATCCTTGCCCGAATATGAAATAAGCACTCTCCTGATAGTTGTGGAAAGTGTTGGTGAAGTTCTCGACGGCTTTTACAATACCATCGACCGCCTGCAGAAATGATTTCATACGTTTGAACCAAACAGTAAAAATCGCACACGTTAACATAAAGCTTACAACAATGAAGCCCATGTCTATGGATCCTGATGTCAGGCGCGCAACTATGTCTGGATCACACCTTACTTCAGCTGTGGCTCTCCGTCATCATCACGTAGTTCGCTGCAACAATCATCCTCTGCCTTCATCGCATGTTCTATTCCACAGCGTGTAGGGGCTCATATGATGAGCAGTCGTGACCGTGCTCCGCATATGGCCATTCATTGATGGGTTGTTTGTTTTTATGCGTTTTTGCTTATATGCAAATTGCAGAAACGCACATTGAGACGACCTTGTCTGTGTGTCTGTGTGTATGTACGTGTGTGTATATGTTTGCGTGTGTGTGTGTTCGTCTGTCCGGGTATTTCAATTTGGCAACCAAGCAAGTTCCAGCGCCGAGATTTTACTAAGGGTACCCCGGCCAAGTATCACCCCAGAATCGCGGTATCCCCCTCACGCACGTCTGAGCCCCGCGTACGAGAAAGGGGAAGTTTCGGCGGGAAAATCGATAACTCGAGAACGAGAAAAAATAGGAAGCTGAAATTTTGAGGTTATGTTCCCGTCCAAATATATTTGAAAGATTTCAAATTCAGCCCCCAGGTGCGCATGGCTCCCGCGTACAGCCCCGCGAGATTTTTCGGCGGGAAAATGGCTAACTCTGGAACTAGCAAAGCTGGGAAGCTGAAATTTTCAGGGAATATTCCCAGTCCATGTACGACTTAAGTTCATTAAATTCATCCCCCAGACTTACGCGGTTCCCACGTATGGCCCTGCGAAATTTTTTGGCGGATAATGGCTAACTCGGGAATTAGTAAAGATGGGAAGCTGAAATTTTCAGGGAACGCTCTCAATCCACGTGCGATTTAAAATTGTCAAATTCAGCCTCCAGGCGTGCGTGGTTCCCGCATACGGTCCCTGAGATTTTTCGGCGGAAAAATGGCTAACTCGGGAACTACTAAAGCTGGGAAGTTGAAATTTTCAGGGGACTTTCCCAATCCACGAAAGACGTAAATTTATCAAATTCATCCCCCAGGCATGCAAGTCATCAAGTACGGCCCAGCAAATTTTTTTGGCGGGAAAATGGCCAACTTGGGAACCAGCAAAGCTGGGAGGCTGAAATTTTAAGGTGATGTTCCCAGCCCACATACGACTTAAAATTCAGCCCCTAGGTGTGCGTGGCTCTCATGTACGGACACTTAAATTTCTGGCGGTAAAACTGCTCACTGAGCAGCTAGGTTATCTTCGAACAATGACTATTAAATGAAATCTGTTCATTTGCTTTATGCAAAATTTGTGGTGATTTAAGTTAGTGAGCGCAAAACGTAGGTGCAAAGCAACAACCATTCATGCAGTTAATAACCAGAGTACTTCAAGTCTGGTGCAAAAATGCATGACCGCACCGGCAAGTT